TTTCTCGATCAGTGTTACTGTAGTTAGTGAAATGAACCTAATGATCTCACTGTAACTTTGTCCTGAAAACAGACAGCCTGATACCGTTTTAAAAAATGTGCTGCCTAACAAGTGACAGCAAGAAGTACGGTTTAGCTAAATAACGCAAACTGTAGATTTGTCCAGTGAAGACGTATATCAGCATTTCGAACCGAGTGTCAAACGCTTTCTCAAAGGTAAAGGAGGTGACAGTACTCAATTTCCGTGGAGGTTGTATACAAATTGTCGCGACTGTCTTTGCGCTGATATTTCAGCGTGACTACCAGCTAACTGACAAATTATTTGCAACATCTCTTCAACAATCACTACTTACACACACAGTATTTGCAGAACTAACATTTCAGACCAGCTTCGTATGCATGAAAAAAAGTTTGTAATAGTTTGAAGTCTTTCTTGCATAATTTCATGAAGGGACCCATCCCGGTAAAGTCAATGGAATAGTCACCTCTATTTCCATGTCATCAGCCAAAAATGTATTAACGCCAGAGTCGACAGCAGGCGCATATCAAGCTCTGTGATAATATCTTCCTTCCTTTCCACAGAGTAATACTCAATTATCAACTTCGGAAAAAAGAAAGCGAGCGACCCGGCTGGGGCTAGAAACCGGCACCCTTCCATTCTGACGCTCCATCGACAGAGGAAACCCTCGTCGGTCTTCAGAATTACTAAAGAAAGACCGTGCTTGATTTCAAAATGTCGCTCTTGCGAATAATTCTCATGCAAAAAACGTTAATGAGTTATTCGGTGGTTTGTTATAATCAAAAACAATCTCTTTTCATACAAATAAACCAGGTAGCATATTCAATAACACGTTATATAATTGGTTTCCTAAATTATCACGCTATGCATCGAAAAGACAGAAACATACATGCGCCATATGATACATCACATGACGCTGAGCAATGATTTGAGCCACCTCGGGCGTTGTAAACTACTACGAGGTGCATTTATTTTTGGAAATTCGTCCGCCGTATATGTTAGGAAAAACATTAAAGCTTCCCATAACCGTTTATAAAGATGATTTTCAAACTGAATGAAAATATTTGAATCGAAAAAAGTCAGTTTTCTCTAGGTGCAATAACGCGTTAAGCAGTAAAGTGGCATGCAAAATGAAATAACCGTTATTAATTGATAGACTCATTGCCTGCGTGCAACTTAATGTACATCCATATGTATTTTGCTGATGAATCTGCAATATGGAAAAAGTTCTGTCCGCATGAAACCTCACATTTGCTTTGTGTTAAAAAAGTAACCAAGCGCGAGACCGAATATCATATATCAAGAAAGAATTAGGGTATCAGCAAGGCGGAATCCAATGACCTAATGCATTTCCTGGTGCACAAACATTCTCACTACGGACGTCTACAGTGTACGGCAATTAAAGTACGAATAAACAACGCAGGGCTTACTGCTCAAGATGAAAACATATGATGCGCATTGATGTCAGGGGCGTAGAATCTATCCAAGAAGCATTTCGAAACATAGAGCACTATACAAACACAAAGCTGTTCTCTTTTCACAACTGTGGGGTATAGAAAAGGGCTCGTTGCCACATTCGTTTATGATTCAACAAAAACTTGAGCAGCACCAAAGGGATAACAATGAAAGCCTTTAATCAATCAAATCGCAACCGGATCGACCAACGAGACGGTAACTAAGAAAGGCGAGCATCAGTTTCTTTACGACTTTAAGCATATGTCATTCGGATCACAAGATGTATTAATGTCAATGAAAAGTGCGTTAGAAAAAGTACAAAACATACTAAAATGGTATCAACAGTGCATGCGACATGCTAGGGATAATGACGAGCAGCTACTTAATTCGATCAGTAAACATGGTTGGCACAGACAGACGGAAAAACTGATTTGACAGTCTTTTCTAACCACAGTCGTCACCTTCCCATTTCAAAGCCATCGCCGAAGAAAAGAAAAATGTAGAAGAGAAAAAGAAAATAAGGCGTCAGTGCAATAAAGCACGTAAAAAGCGAGTATACAAGATTTTTGGCAGAGGGTCGAGCAAATGTGACGAATGCATGCGATAAATACCGGGTGGCCCAGGGGGCTACGTCTAGTTTTTAAGCAGCAATTAAATCAGCTGTCTAAATTTGTTTAAACAACTTCGTCACACTAATGACCTAGAAAAAAGTCTGTAAATGACTTGCGACGGCAAGAACAAAACCAATGAAAAGTATAAAAGTAGCTAGTGCTCCTAACACGCAAAAGTCAGCCGCCCCTCGTCACATGACGCGCAACTGGGATCAATTAAATAAATCACCTAAAAAGAGTATAATTAATTAATAACATTACACTTCCCACTCTAAACGAGGATAAATGAAAAAGATGATCTGACATCTTTCATTTCTGGGACCCTACTAGAATCGCTGAACAATGCTGCAGGGCACCATGCCGCAGTGAAAGCCTCGTACGTTGACAAGTTTTACTCTCGACTGTGTTTGGACGACTTGAACGCAGAAAAACAAATTAACTTCATTAAACAAACGTGATCTCTTCCAGTCGTTTCGCTAGGATCTGCAATCAGAATTAACGACTTCTGCAGTACAACAGAATTTTATGTATAAAACAGAAAAGAGTCCATGAAGATCAAAAGCTGAATTCGATTCTTTCATGTTCCCTTTTCCGACAGAGACAACACACCGCGAGCACAGAAAACAAAGGCTTAACTGCATCCCTGAGAAAAACCTGTTCTAATTCGTCATGCTAAACGATCTGTCTTTTACCGGCTGAGTATCCCCAATCCAAAATTCCAAAATGTGAAACATTCCGAAATCCGGAACACTGGATTAACTCGCTTCTCAGCCCTGAGTTTTATGAAACATCTTTGAATAATATGAACATCGGCTGCAATATCCTTCCCGTCGCTCATCCCCTCAATCTCACACCCGGAGCCGGCAAATCAGAAAAGAGCC